TCTGAGGATGGTAAGACGAGGAGAAGCGGAGCTGAGTGCCGTATACCTCGTGGAGCCGTCGCCAGAATCGGCTGGTAAAGCGCGGGTCACGGTCAGATATGATGCTCAGAGGTAAGTCGTGGTCACGCACGACTCGGTCAAACACGATGTCGGCGACCTCACGTGCACTAATGGCATAGCGGCACGGAACAAAGCGTGCACGCTTCGTGAAGCGGTCGACGACGACCAGGATAGCATCATGACCGCGAGGGGTCAGAGGACGAAAAGGACCGATAAAGTCCATCGAGATGGACTGCCAACGACCCTCAGGGATAGGAAGAGGCTGGAGCAAACCATAAGGCAGGTGGTTCGCACTGTTCACCTCCTGACAGGTGGGACACTCGGCGACGTAGTCCTTCACAAAGTCCTTGCGCTTCGGCCAGACGTACAGGCGGCTCACACGAGCCAACGTCTTGTGGAAGCCCATATGACCGGCAGCTGACTGGTCATGGAACTCTGCTACTGCTCGGACACGTAGCTGTCCAGTGGAGGGAACACAAATACGGGGCTCTCTGGTGCCCTGTGAACCGTGCCAGTACACAAGACCGTTGTCCCCGAGAGAGTAGTTCGGGACGGTCTTGCCACTCCGAAGGGTCGCGTGGATGTCGCGATAGTTGGGGCAGTGGCGGTACTAAGTGCGAAACTCGTCGATCACCGAGTGGTGGATGGTGGTGACCGAGATGGAAGAGAGTTGGATGTGCTCCTGGTCATGGTCAGTGCTGGGATAGGGCATCTGCGACCCGATTAGTCTCACCCTTCATGTGCTCAGTGGTGAAACGAAACTCGGATAGGTCGCGCCACCAGCGAGCCTGTCGAGGAGTGAGCTTTGGCTTAGTCAGAAAAGCCTGGACAACAGAGTTGTCCGTGCGCACCGTGAATGGTGCCCCGTGCAGGTAGTGACGCCAGTGCCGAGCGGCATAAACTACTGCGAGAACCTCACGTTCATCAGCAATGTAGTTTATCTCGGCGGGCAGGAGCTGACGAGAGTAGAAGGCTATCGGACAATCACCTGAGCGAGTCTCGACAGTGTCGTCCTCGGCGATGGTAGGAGAATAGTCAATAGGAGGCTCGTTAGTAGCTGGACGAGTAGGCGTCAGTCGGGAAGCAGTGGTAGGGGTAGGTGGTGGGAAGCGAGGGATACGAGGATGAGAGGAATCAGGAGAGGAGGGGAAGACCTGAGAAAGCACTGCTCC